CTTTAATGTAATTTTTGTGTTAATTAAAAAATAAGTCTTGATAAAATATTAGAGGAGAAAAATGCTTCAGTCAGAGTTACAGGCTGTCACTCTGCCGGTTGGATGGTTATTAAGAGTTTTCCACCTGCAACTGGAGACAAATAATCACTAAAATCTTTGCCTGTGCACGTGTCTGTTAGCAAAATATCTCACAAACCACTGRGTAAATTTTGTTGAAACTCAAGATGGATGCCACAACCGATTGTTGGAAATGTATGCAAACAGCTAAAGCTTAGCTAGTTTTACAGATACTGAGATGAGAGTCGTCCTTTAGGCCTTTTTTGCACTACAAGGGCCGGCCTGGCTTCAAACCTGGGTTCAGTGTTTACAACGACTAACTTTTTTTTCCCACACAAGGTCAACTAAACAACAATGGTAGCAAGCTACCAAGCAACAACATGCTAACATTAGCAACCGTTAGCTTACMGTTCTCTATCGTCCTGCCCTTCAGATACTGACAAAAATTATCTCATTTTAAAACTCCAACATGAAACATCTTTATCTTCTACCCTAATAGGGAGTCCTGARATGATAGATCTTGGAGAGAGGATCCAGAGTCCCTCTAGCCAGTTCTGGTTTTGCTCTCTGGGGACCCTGATTTTAATTAGATTGGACTATTTATAATAGTAACATGATTTTATGTTTCAGGTCCAGATATTTTGTTGGTTTTAGGAACATTAGGTGGTTTGAATTTGATGGATTGCACAATTTATAAGCGGCCTGGTTTACAAGACAGGAGCTTCTATTAAATACAAAGAGGAAGAGAAAAGCAGCGCCCAGAGAATTAATATGAGTGAATAAACAGAACGTCACTCAGTAACGGGTCTGTCCTCTCTGTCAGCACTCATCCTGATCAACATGCTGCCTGCTGACACACACACACACGTGCACAGGAGTGTTTACACCAGTCTGAAGCACAGCTTCCTAGAACTTCAGCATGCTGCCTTTTCCCTGTAGTCAGTCTGCCTGAACTCAGATGATTATTGCTCCAAATTTTAAGGTTGAGAAAAACACAAACCAGATTTTTTATAAACTGCCTAATGTTCTTTTTTTTCTACCAGGACAGCCTTTTTTATTCTGCAGACGTTCACCTTCTGCAAGATTTCAAAGTAAAAACAATCTCATTAGGCAAAACTAAACTAAAGATTTATAACTCCTTGAATGAATGTGTTACTTAGGCCAGAATTTTAGATGGACATCCTCTAGTGCTGGGAGTCATGACCAAAGACTTATATCATAGGAATTGACAGTATTTTTCCTTTTCATGAGTACCTATGTGAGTTAGCCACATTTTCTACTAATTGAGAGGGAAATTTAAGCTGTAAGGTGGCTAAGAAGAACTGCCTGTGACACTCCTACTAAACTCTGCATTAAGCTAGCAGTGCGGCTGTGGCAGAGTGGTTAGGGGATTCGTCCTGGAACCGGAAGGTTGCCGGTTCGATCCCCTGTCCAGCTGTCTCAGTTGYTGTGTCCTTGCGCAACCCTTAAAAGAAAAAACTAAAAACCACACAAGGGAAGATGAGGGGAAAAACATCATATTATATCAACAATGTGACACACTATGGTGTTTATAAAAAAATCTCTGCATAGAGCACTTTTATTAGCCAGAGGAGTAAGTGGGTTTAGGGGGTGTGTGTATCTGAAGCCATGAGTGTTGTATGCACTTGTGTGAATATCTGAAAAATGAGCCTGAAGAATCGAGTCCCCAAAACCTACCTAGCTATAGTCAAGAATATGGGTGTTAAGAGTTCATTCTGTGCTGCCCTCAGCTTGCTCCAGAAACCAGATCACAGACTGGTGTGAGGGTGGGAACGGTGGAGGGCAGACGCTCAGTCGACAAAACCATCCAGGAAGCATTTAGTCCAACAGCTCAAGGCCATGTAGCGGRGAGCCAAATTCTGTAATCAGTTTTGGGAACAGAAGAGCCAAGCAGACAATAACAATTTTCCATCTGCCTTCATGTCTGCTGGTACAACTCAATGTGGCGAATCCAGTCAGACAAATAGTGTGGACAAATTCTGCAGAGSCGASCTATCAGCTTTCTCCAAGTTCAATTCCATCTGGCCAGCAAAGTCCAGGAACCACAGCCGGCCCGCGACCCTCAGCAGAACCACGTGCAGACCGAGTCCAGCTCGCTCAAGGCAAAAGTCTGAGTGCTGATAGAACGGCAATCCTTCATATTGGTCAGACAGCCAGGAAATGAACAGCCACCGACACTGTTTTGTAGAAACACCCAGAGACCACCAAGCCAATCTGTAGAATCCAGTGATCAGAATCCAAGTATATATCCAGAACAGAGGTCCCACCTTTGACATGTCCTCCCATGGAAGAAAAAACTTTGTTGCAAAAATTTACTAAGAGACCAGCTAACCAAATCCATAACAATAAAAATATCCACAATTTCTGGTTTCAGATGAAAATGCAGAGAGGGCTCCAAGCAGCAAAGAAGGGAAGATAAGGAAGGGCAGGAGAGAAGGAAAAAGTGTCTTACTCCTCCAAGAGTGGAACCAAAAAAGAAAAAAATGCTAACACATTTAGCTATATTTAAAAAAAATTAAGTGGGACTTGAACCAAGACTTTAGTCCCGGCCCTCGTCGACCCCTGAGCTGGAGGCCAGGCCACATGGAAATGTCCCGGGTCTCCCGATGGCCAGTTCGCCCCTGCTAAACACCTCCAACATCACTTACTTGCCTTGTTCTCTACTTCCTGCATTCCGCA